TAAAACAATGTTTTATGTAGTTAGGGAAGATCTGACCAGAGAGGAAAAAGCTAGCTAAGAAAGATGGGGTCACCAAAAAGTAAAAAGGGGTAGAATGAACAAAAATAGAAGGCTTAACTTTGAAAAGTAGGACTGGCATCTTTTCCTCTGAGAAAGGAAAAACACTACTTTTCTTGAGTTATTTGTGACAGTTAAGTTTATAAATATACAAGAGTTAATATCTGAACAGGAGAGGAGATTATGGTAAATATAGTTTTCACAGATATTAGAAAAGCTTTAGAAGGTCAAGAACTTTGTCTTTTTTACTTCTGAATCCTCAGCACCTCAAGTAGTGCCTGGTACATAGTACACACTCAAACATTTATTGAATTTCAGGTATACCTTACATGTGACATTTTGATCATTTATTCATTCAGCAAGTATTTACTAAACTTTATGTTATGTCAGAATCCAAGTTAGATGTTGGGAATAGAAAGATCAAAAAAGGGTCCCCGTCATTTCTCCTAGGCAGAGAGAATACCAAATGTAGGTTTCATGAGGACAGGAACCATGTTTTTGTCCCCAAGAACTCATAAATAAATTCCTGTGTTTCAATAAATATTTGTTGAGTAAATGAAAGACACAAAATTATGAGATTATGATACAATCTGGGAACTACAAGCGGTTTAGTATTGCCGGAGTATAAATCAAGATCATGAATGGTAGAATGGAGTAAGATCCTACATGGTATAGTATTTTGGTATAGTATAGGCTTGATGTGGGCAGTAGCATTAAGAATGCTAGAGAGGAGATGAATCATGATAGAGATATATAGGGTATAGAATAGGGCTTGATGACTAATTGAATGAAAGAGATAAAGGGAAAAAAGGGTCCTCAGGTTTCTGATTTGGGCAAAAAGTTTCTAGCCAGATTTTAAATCCTTGAATGAAAGCTGTAACTGAATAACAAGTAAATCTATTCAGGAGCTTGATACTTGGGAATATGTTTTTTATTAAATAGGACTCAAGTTCTGAAATATTAATCAATTGAGAGAATATATTTACCTAAAAAAGAGATCAAATTAGTATCATAGATAAACCAAATATCTAAATACATTATATTGGCCTTAGTGAGGATTTTTAAAGTCTCCATAGAATCATACTCAGTAATTTGGAAGAGACCTTAGAATTCCATTGTCTATTTCCAAACCAATGTTTGTATCTCTCTGGATAAGGAAGACAAAATGTAGTAAGTGGCTGGAGTTAATCCAACCAATTGAGAAACTTGAATCCATGATTACATGAGATGGGCTGCTGATGTTTCCTGTATTTTAAAATCAGTATTTAAAAGAGCTCTTATACAAAACTGAACAAAATGTATTTATTAGTGATATTCCATAATTTATGTTCAACCCTCTAATTTTATTCGGCTTAGAAACTCAAGTCAAGGAATCTTTTGAAGAAAAACAACAGTTGTACTTCAACAGGACCACCTAATTTAAAATCAAACATTAGTAGTCAGCAAGTACTACTTGAACACAGTTATGCCTTTAGGAATCCAATGGAGGCAAAAAAGAGAATAATTAAACTGGAAAAAGAAATAGCAAGCTTAAGAAGGAAAATGAAAACTTGCCTACAAAAAGAACGCAGAGCAACTCGAAGATGGATCAAAGCCACCTGTTTAGTGAAGAATCTAGAAGCAAATAACTTATTACCTAAAGGCACATCAGAACACATTTTACCAACTGCCTTAAGCAGTCTTCCTTTGGAAGATTTCAAGATTCTTGAACAAAATCAACAAGATAAAACGTTACCAGTTCTCTAAATCTAAAACACATCAAGAGTACCTTCATTTAAGATTAGCCTGCAGAGAACTTAATGCCCTTCATTCTACTCAAAGGTAACGATATTTAAGGAAATCATGCCAAAATTGGATATTTAATAAAGTTTTACTTGAAGTAATATTATTACTGTATAATTTATGAAGACTTGATTAAAAAAGAAAAATGGAGAACTTTTTATGAAACTTTTTTGAAAAAGAATGGAAGTGCCTTACATGAGAATTACATACTTAAAAATTTTGCTAGGAAGTTATGTTTCCAAGATGTGTTTTGTTTTCATCTTTTTAAACTACTTTTAAAAGAACAGTCTATGACAAGTAATGTGTTTAATTTATATTTAAAAAAAATTTTTTGTGTGTACCAAAGTTGGGATATTACATTCTAAATAAGATGCTAAGTAGGAGTTAACCAACATTAAATATGACTTTAAAACTGCTGGGTTTTGTATTAATTAAATTATTATTGGCACTGTGATTTGGAAACTTTATTTTTAGAAAAGCCTGAAGTATAGGGCAAGTTTTTTTATTTAAACTTCTGTATCTTTTTAACAGTAACAGTGAGCTAATCATGACCTCCCTTATAAAAATATTAATTTTTAAAATAGGTTGTAAAATATTTCAAAAATATTTTTGAATGTGAAGTACCCTTGAGTCATCTAAGTTACGTAAAGCCTCAAGTACTTCTAGACTAGTAAAAACTGGTAGCAGATTATATATACCTTCTAAGAAAATATGTTGTAAAATAAGAGATCAGAATCTAGCTTTTACCTTAATTAAACAAAAAGATAACTGTATACTACTTTTACTCATAATAAAAATACATTTTTAATTTCAAAATTGATGCATTAGTAAGCAAATATGCCACCAAGTTCCATGTTAAGAAACTCTCTCTGCCTTCGTATTATGTCGATACCAAAACTTTTAAGCTTTTTTCCCCATAAACCCACAATAGAATTTAATCATAGAAAAGTACTTGCCATATTATATCTTTACAACTTATAACTTAAAATGAGATCAATTTGTCTTACACATCAGCTTGCTTTCTTCTTCCTTTTTAATGAGAGTCAAATAGAACTACCGTACTACATAAGGGAAATGAAATGTAGTTCCCTATAAAAATACATGTGTCTGTGAATAAAGCTATGCAAGTGCTAATTATTTTACAATATAGAAGATCAAAATTATTCTTATAATTGCCACTTGAACAATTAGAGTTTGCCTTACTTCACCAGATAAATGTTTAATAAGAACTTTTTCCTTCAAATAGCTTTGCTCAAATCATGCAAAAATTTATTAAAGTATAAGTTATTCAATCCTGATTCAAATGTCTGACACCCCATATGAGAGTAGCATATATCTAATTATAAATTGCTGTAAATCTTTATAGAAGTTAAATGCTACTTGATGAAAAAATAACTTTTTTTTTTTGACATTTGCTTGGATCCTACCAAAAATCTTTTTACAGTATTAGCACCCCTCTTTTAATAAAGAATGCCTCCGAAGCAACTAGATTTCACAAAGGCAAAGTAGGAAAAGTCTGTTTTAGTCATCATCAGGCACTTACAACAAATATTTATGAAAATCCTTTTGAGTATATTGTAAACCTTTTTAGTCGTTGCATCTGTATCTTAAATATTGGATGTAGCTCCTTGGAATTGTCATTATATGTTTGTTTTTTTCTAATATGGTTTCAAATATCTTTTTACCAATACATAATCATCAGCAAACATATTCTCACTATATCTACTTTATAATTCAAAATAAGTTAGGCAAATAATCATTTATATATAAACTATGTTTTTCAAATATAAACTTTCATGTGGTTCAACACCCTTCTCCAATACAAAACAAAACACCAATTAATGTAGGCTGGTTCCTATCTATAATAATATTTTGGAATCTAAAAAAAATCACAAAAAGAAAACAATATAAAATACAACAAGCTTTTGACAAAGTTAGTCTTCATTATTTGAGACCACTGAATAAATGAGCACTAAGTAATTTTAAAGTAAAAATATTTTATTTTCTGTCATTTTCATGTTACCATCCTGATAACATGCTCCAAACTCTCCCTGCATCAAATTCTTTAATTAACATACATTTGTGGACTTAAAACTAGTCTCATTCATAGAAAAAAACCTAAAAGGAATCTTGTAAAATCCTGTTTTCAGCTTGCTGATAAATTTATCACTCTGACCATATATCATAAAACTAATCAAAATTATGATAGCCCTTTGTTCTCTGCCGAACATAACATATATCCTGTTCCTTCAATGTCTGTCATTGTCATTCATTCTATGTCTAGTATGCACTAACCTCTATAAGGAACTCCAAATGAATATGACCCAATTTTCTGCCCAAACTCTCCTGGGAGAAAAAAATAAAAATTATTTATCATACTATGTGATAAATGTTTTAAAAGACGTGTGAAGTGCTTTGGTAAATGGTGTAGAATTGGGATTTAATGTAAACAAACTTTAGACCTTTTTATTATAAAATACTTTTCTTTTGAAACAGATTTCTTCTTATGACTTAACCATAGGAAGTAGAAGGTTGTTGGTGTTGACCTGAATTACATAGTGTTTTTTTAAATGAGTTTTAAGGCATTTTTCCAATTAAAATGAACACTGAACAAATTTGTTCTTAATGGTATATTTGTTAACAGGAAAGCAACTAAATAAAATATTACATCAAAGCCAAGTTATTGGAGTTTATTTGACATTTGATATCTACTAACAGATCTTTAGCTCACAGTCTTAAAATTAACAAAGCACTGTGGCACCCATTAGTTCTTTTGTTTTTTACAAATATTTTGTGTGGTAGGTGGTATCTCCAATTTACAGATGAAGAAATCCTTGTCGATGTAATTATTCATTCAGACATTTATTGTGTGCCAACTAGCACAGGGATAGGAATGGTAGTAATCTAGGAAGTTCTAGATTGAACACCAGTCTTCAGCCTCTAAATCTACTCTGCCCAACACATTATAACTCTCTGAATCACGTTGTTAGGATAGGTTATGTGTCTCAAAAAAAATAAAAATTTTACATATATATAGTAAAGATATTCTATGAAGTCATTGTTGCTCTTCTCTAAGTAGACTTTATAATGTTGGTATTTTATGTCATTTCTCAATATTAGAATACGGGTAAATTTTAATTTTGGTATAATATAGAAAATGGTTTAACTTTATGCTAGAAAATGGGATTCTTTTGGTATTTAGACAGTTGGAAACTTTCTAAAATTAATGATTTTATAATGTACATTAAACAACTGCATATTATATTCACAAAATGTAATCTAAGTATGTTGATATTAAAATCTTTTTTCCAAGGACATTACTATCATGCCTATTATTTCATAAAAATGTACATATCTGTGGAAGTCCTTCCCCTAAACTGACCTTCTAAAATACTTCTATAGAAGTTCTCTCTAAATTGAAATAAACTGTAAATAAAAGAAAGTTATATAAAGCCTGGAAGAGGAATTATTATCATTTTTGTTGCTTGTTATACTTAAACATACATTAGAGATTATTTGCACCTTTTTAAATGCCAGTTATTTATGCAATCTAAACCAGATAACGAAGGGCTATTAAAATTCTGTCTATCCTGACAACAATTTGAGGCTAACACAAAGATTTATTTGTAAATATGATTATCAAAGCATTATTTTAATAACAAAAAGGAAATGTGATTTTTCTTAATTTTTTTTCTGATTTTTAAGGTATTGTCTAATACTTTAATTCAAAACATACTATCTTAACATTCATTAAGAGACATTGAGTAAACTAGGATGAACCAGATAGACATGGTCTCTGTCCTCAAGGCTATCCTGCCCTCACTGTACGGTACCCTCTTCCTAATGTCCTTTTACAATGAGTTGAATCATACAACAAATCAGTCTTCAATTTGCTGCCTAGGATTTTAAAATTTGTGCTCTAAAAGTTTTTTTTTTTTTTTTAATATTTAGGTTTAATGTCCAGAAAGTAGATATGTACCCCTCACATGAATTTCCGGTTTAATTAGTTAGAAAATATTTCAAACCTATTTCTAACTCTTCTCCATTCTTTTGAACTTCCTATTTTAATGCTCTTAACCACCAAACCTTTACAAATTGCCCTTCTCTTAGCTTGGTTACTTAACAAACTCTTTGTCATCTTTCAAGTCTTAGCTCTGACACTCCCTCTCTCTGTCACCAAAGTGACATAAATGCCTTACTCTTTGATTCCTGATTTATACATAACTTGGATATACAGTCATCATATTATTATAATGTAATTGTCTACATATCTATTTTCATCTATGTTCCTTTGAGGCACTGTGTTTTGTTTTTTTATTTGGCCTCTGGAATCTAACGTATATATTAGGCATTCAAATATTAGCAGATTTCAGAATATCTAAACCACTCCTTTGGCTTAGATTCAAAGGGATTGTACATAGAATCCACTTATATTTTCCTAACAATGGTAAATGTTTTTTGCCATTGAGATGATTTTTATAATTGGTGTTAAGTACCAAATGTCTGTCCCAGAAAAATCCAAACTTGTTTACATCAAAAAGCATAAATAGGTATTTATATTGTTACATTTAAAGGTTATTAATGCAACAATGAAATTTCAGTCTGTTGGCTCTGATTACTATAGAAATTCTCAAATTGTCCTATTTTCTAAGGGAAAGCAATCTGTGGTAAAATAATTAACTGTTGGAAAGTAAACAAAGGTGTTCAAGTTTCTCAACTTCTCAGAGCCTTTAATATTACACTCTCACAATCTTATGAGAATACAAAATTTCTCAACCTTAAATTTGATCAGATTGGGTTTAGGGGTAGAGGGTAGCATACCTACTACAATCTCCAGGAATATAGTTTAGGAAATGCTTAACCAGAAATTCTGTTGCTAGAAAATGGATTTTAAAGTAAATAGAAAAAGTATTTGAAAATTTTAAGATTGTCAAAGTCTATAAAAATTATCAGACTAAAATCATGGTTTTTTAGAAAAAGAATAAGTATATCTTAACTACATTAATTCTCCCAAATTGTTTTAGATTTAAGCTAGAATAACTTGTTTATGGAGAACAACAGCAATAATTGAACACTGGGAAAAAAATGGAAGAGATATTCATTTGAAGGGTTTGTCACTGGCACTATTATTTCATATGCAATTTTAGCCAGGTAGTCATGAAGATGGCGTCCAGGAACTAGTCTGACACACCCAGACTTCAGGAACTAGTCTGACACATCTAGACTTCAGCGTTGTTAGGGGAGGCCTGACACAATGAGGCCATGATTTTTTGCTGGACATAAAAATCTCAGAACACCAACATCAGGCAGTGTTACCTTATGATTGTGATGAAGTGAGGGGCAAAAAGCAAGATTGGTTCATAATTTTGTCTAAGCGGAGACAAAAACAAATATGCTAAACCACAAAAAAAAATTAGCTTTTATTATTAATAGTAATTGTTTGGTATTGCTGATATTAGCCAGTTTTCTAAGGTAATTATTTACTTGTGCTGAAAAGACTGAGACAAAAACTAGGCATATAATATATTTCTGGATAAAGATCACACCTGCATGTAGTCTAGTAAGAGAAGGCCACTACTATTTAGTCCTACTTCACAAATTTGGTTCTTAGTTAACTAATTAGATTCCTTACTAAAGGAAAGTGTGTTGTCTTGGCATGTATTTTGAAAGTTAAAATAGTGTGAGTTTTTTAAAAGTTAAACACTTGTGGTTGTTATGTCTGAAATTGACTTGCCTCTTCTTACATTGTCACCAATTAACTGAAAAAGTTCATAAATATAATTATCAATTAGTTACTGTTAACCCAGGCAAACAGGTTAACTTCAAATGAAATGTGTATTCAGCCACGAGATTCGGATCGTTACCGATAAAAAGACGTTCTGCTTGCTAAATCGACAATGCAAATGCTTCAAATATAAGAGCTGTGGGAACAGATTTCCACACAGAAAGTGGTATTGTTGTGACCGGAATAACCAGACTCAACCTGAGTGCTTTGATTATAGAGGCAGTTTATTAGCCGGCGGCTGTCCTTCCAAAGGAGCAGCCCCGAAATGCCAAGATACAAGGTTTTTAAGCCCCAAATCCCATTCCTCATTCTGTCTTAAACACAAAGGTCCATCTTTCTCCTATTCACTACCTGTCAACCCACTGGTCAGGTGTGCAAGCGGGGAGTACAGAAGCAGAAAGCTAGTTGTTAGAATGTTATGTTCCTATGGGTGATCGCCTAGGTTCCCATGGGCAATAGCCAGTGTTCCCATGGGCGATGGCCAAACAGTAATTTTCAGCTTAGATAAAATCGGTTATTTTTAATTATCCTCTAACCCTTTCACGTTTCAGCAGGCTATTACAGTATCATGACAATAATTTGAGAGCTCAAAAGCAGGAACTGAATCTAGCTTTAGCTTTATGCCTCTAGCAGCCAGCAGTGGCGGGCACATAGTAGGTACTAAAGGGTTTCTCAGTCATAAAATTCCGTTTTTACAGCACAATATCTCCCTCCTAAAAAAAAAAAAAGTCCATATTATATGGCATCGACTCCTCATAGACAAAAGAAGTACTTGAATATTATGCTTGAAATGGACTTACTCGGTCTAAATTCATTTGCGTTCTTTTATTCTATTACTACTCAGGTGGTGATTTCACGTTTCAGCGTTTGGATGTGTCCTCAACGCTAGGACCTAAGGTTCCATACAGCTATACTATTTTGAGGAGAAATACAAACCCTCAAGGACCAGGCCGCAACCCTCTATAACTCCGGCCCGCTCGCCCGCCTTTGGGCCGCCCTTTAAACGCTCACGTGAGCTAGGCGACGTCCTATGGCGGCCACGGCGCATACGCGTAGACAAGGCGCCGCAGCAAGCGGAGACGTGGCGAGACGTGGTCTGAGATCCACAGACCTTGACTCTGGCCCGCCAGGGCTGGACTCTGGAGCGGCACGGACGGCCATCGGGACGTGACCGTCCTCCGTCGCGCCTAGCTCGCCGCCGAGACTCACCCAGGTCCCGACTCCACATCCTCCACATTTTGGCCACCAACCCGCCTGTGTTGGCGCAGGGGCGGGCAGTGGAGGGGCGAAGCTCGCCATCCGCGGGATCGCGGATTGGCTGCTTCCGGGGATTGGCTGCTTCCGCGGATTGGCTGCTTCCGCGGAACATTAAGCCTTCCTTTCTTTCACCTTCCGGGCCGCAGAGTTCTGGTGAGAAGTGACTGCGGTCTAGGACACGGCGCTCTGAGGATTTTCTTTGCTTTTCTGGTGAAGCGTTAACCTCGTCCAGACGAATTTGAGCTTTCTACCAGCAAGTATCCAGAAATAGTTCGGGTTTATATTATTTTTTTGATAGGTGGAAGATGTTGGCATTTGTCTTCACAAGTGTTTTGCTGGCAACTTGAATAACTATTTTTCTCAGAAATGCTATATGCTTTTCCCCCCAAGTGCTCATAGCCCTTTTTTTTTCCCCCATGACAGATCTTAATGACAATATATGCAAAAAATATATAAAGATGATAACTAATATAGTTATATTGAGCGTGATCATTTGCATTTCTTTAGCGTTCTGGATTATGTCTATGACTGCAAGCACCTATTATGGTAAGTACGAATGTTCTAAGTCGTTTTTCTACACTGGGTGAAAGTAACAGGTAGCATTGTGAAATCCAAAACTCATGTCCTCTGAATGGTTATCGATTGTGTTTACTTCTACAGCTTGGATTTAATTTACTAGAAAGCAAACAGTACTTTTTAAAGCCTTTAATAAATGTTGCTGTGGTGATACTAGTTATACCTATTCCAATTTATGTTTTATGTAATTGTTACATCTGTCGTGGTGAGAATTAGGTGAAGTGAAACAGTTTTGTAAAGCAATTGGAGTGATGCTTTTAATAAGAATATTAATAATGCAGTTTATCAGTTTCGTGTGTCCTGGAAAAATAAAAGATGGTATAATGCTTACATTTGGATGATTTGTCTGCTGTCTGGTGTCTTCAAAAGAAGACTCTTTTTAAAGTCTGAAGCCACTGCATAAATATAAGGTACTCTGAACTCAGATCTTTAAAAGTTTGAATCTGCTTTAGAGCATAGGTATGCCTTTACACAAACTTCCTGTAAAATCAGAATACTGTTCAGTTCAAAAGAAAAAGTGAGAAATAGAGTGAGAACGTGAACTATTATAAATGATTATATCATAAGTGATTGCCAGCTCAGACAGTCTTTTTTCAGAGACATGTGAGTAATTGAATGTTTTCCCCCGGGTACAGAAGCTTTCAGGGCTGTTCATTAATAGTCACAGTAGGGGCTGAAGATTTGGGGAGGAGATGGCAGAAGAAGGTTTTCATTAATTGCAGTATTACTATAACTTGAACTAATTAGAATAAAATAGGATTAAAGTGCCCACTTGGAGCCAAGCACCTGAGGCAGATAAGTGATGCTGTCTCAGATCTTTGCATGTTACACACACGGGAATAGTTTTCCAGAAATAGGATTTTCCTTTTTTTTTTTTTTTTTAACATTAAGCCTTCTTTGTCTTTCATTTTTCCATTTTCAGTAGAAACATGGGCACAAATAATAGCTCACATTTTCCTTTACTGTCATCACTCAGCCTTGGTGTTTAGGAGTCTGTCACGAATTGTGAGGACTTCAACCCGGAAAACTGTGACCTATCTGAAAGAGGCATCCTGTCTTCATCTGTAGTCAATTCTGCCAAGTGGGCCTGAGCTTCTGGTTTTTTAAACAGAAGCCAAGAATCTGGATTTTTATATGAAATCTCCTGATTTTTAAGTACTGACTCAAATTATTTGAAAACATGCTAATCAAACAACATCTGTGAGCTGGATGCAGCCTTTGGAAAAAATCAGTAGCTAACCATTGAATCCTGAGATGTATAGCATGTGAAAATGTTACTTTAAAAAAAAAAATCTCTGAAAGGCAGAAAGGAATAATTGGATACACTTATGAAAGGAGTTTGTTCTATATAGTTAAAAATCTCCAAATATATTTGAAATATTCCTTATTATAAATAGTTGTAAATGGTTCCCAAAAGTTGGACAGGACTTATTTGGTTATTCCCAGTAGTACATAGTCTCTCTGAAAACATACACATCTAAACATCAATATTTTACTTTGTGACTTCATCTCAGTTTTTCTAGTTATTAACAGTATTTTAATCCAGAATGCAGTTATCAAAGTTCACATCCAAGCCTAACTTGTGCAGGCCTCACACAATTTGTGCTCTGCTTTTATAATTTTTCAGGTAACCTACAGCCTATATCTCCTTGGCGTTGGCTGTTTTCTCTTATTGTTCCTGTTTTGATAACTGCTCATGGCTTTAAAAAGAAAAGTCTAGATCACAGTGGGGCTTTAGGAGGTATGTTTTCCTTTTGAATGTTTAACCATATAATAAATGCTTATACAATTTAAATTTATGTTTTCTGAATACAAATATTTAAATAACAATGTTATACATTTTAGACAATGATGAAGTTATGCATTGCTCAGCTTTCCTAGTCTGTCTAGATTTCAGAAATTAACATATTCTTTTAGTGTAATGTACAAATTTAACTTTCTAATTGATACCAAGTTAATAGAATAGGCTATCGAAGACCTTGATTTCCCAGCTCCTTTAGTTGGATTAAATTATCTGCTAGCAAAAACATTAGAGCACTCCTCATAGATGTAAAATAAAGGAGCTATTAGAAAAAATAGCTAACTGACATAGTGACATTTTTATATGAATTTTGTCTTACCACAAAATCAGTAAGTATCAAGAATGGTTATGTTTTATTTATTTTGCAAATGTTTATGTTGTATATACTATATACTAGGTACTGCTGTTAGCACTTTGGAAGTATTAACTCATTTATAGCAAAGAATTTGAACAATCACTACTTGAATATAATAAGTTACACTTTGCTAAAAATGTCCTTTTTCAGGTAGGCTTGCCTTGGTTTTTATTATTCCTGACCTCTAGCAAGAAAGGTCAAGTCCTTCTTGAAATTCTGTCTTCCTTTGTCTTCCATGTTGTGTATTGCCTTGCTTCTCCTCTTATTTTTCTGATACCTACTTTTGTTTCTTTTCTGCTACCTTTACTTTTCTGCCTTCTAGCCTTTGGGCCTCTAACTCCTCTCCTACCTAGCTTGATTTAGAATTAGAAGATAAGTATTTGAATCTTAGCACTGCCACCTGCCTATCTCTCTGAACTTTTCATGTAAGCTAACTCCTCAAAGCCTCACTCTTCTTTATCTCTTATGAAATGGGTCCTTTTGGGCTGATTGACAAAGCTCAAACAAGATAATGTGTGGAACACATCTTTTTTAACGATAAAACATTAAATAAACATTGACTGTTAGTGATTTATTATCTACTTTCAACCGTATTATAAATTCCCTGAAGACAGAGTATATCTTATGCTTCTTTGAATAGTGTAACACACATAATAGGTGCTTAGGAAACATAATGTAGATTGATTTGAAAACCTCTGCTCTTTTCCTAAATATTTCGTTTTATGGAATATTGGTATCCTTTTTGTTTGTAGCTCTTTTTTTCCTTAAAGACAAAAAACTAGCCTTGATTCAAAGTATATCATAGTGCTTGGGAATACTATAATGGAGTATAACTGCAAGTCACTTAAACTTTCAGTGTTATAGTTTTCCCATTTGTAAAACAAGAGGGGATAATAGTACCTATAGCATTGACTTATGAGAAGTCATCCATGTAAAATATTTGCCATATCATGTCTTTAGTATGCTCGGGATTGAGAAGAGTTTCAGAACTTCCCCAGGATCTAGGTATTTAGGGTCTTCCATGACACAGGAACACAAACCTCAGTGATAACAGAAGAAGGAGGGGAGGGGTTGAGGCAGTACTTAAGGTGAGCACTGAAGTGGAGGGCTCTGGTCTCCTTGAGAGTATTTCTAGAATACAGAGAAGATGAGGGGACATGTGGGAAAGTGCACGTAAACTACAAAGCACTGAGCAGGTGATTTGCTCCAAAGAAGTATTATCTAGTTACTTAGTATGTTCCTTTAAATTTAATTTTACTTGCCAAGACTATTAGGTTTAATGGTTTACCATTTTTTCATTTAGTCATTCAACAGATATTTAGTGAGGGTCCCCTATATGCCAAGCAGTGTTCTGGGCACTTTGGATATAGCATTGAACACATAAGGTACAATTGATTAGATTTGAGTTTATTAAATTATAAAATTTTAGTCCTGCCAGAGATTATACCCAAGGCACATTGGTTGAGGTTTTGGTTGTAACTCTACTCCCATTCTCAGAGACATCTGTAGACAATGTTGTTTTACTCAACAGCATCTGTTAGGTGGCATCAGTTAGGTACAGAATTTACCTGTTTTAGATGTAGAAGTCAGCCTAAATCCTTGAGTCTTCAAGTGCTTTGGTAGAGCCTTATTGTCACGCATATTAACTTCTTAGAGAAGTTACACTTAGAGATTGGAGAATTGGGTTGGGGAGGTGGCGTAGACACAAACCAGGGATAGCAGTTACTACTCTAAAAGTTTAGACATCCCCCAAAGTTCCAAGACATTTTTAAACGACATTAAAGAAATCATTCTTTTAAAGCTGTCAATTTATTTTCTCATTCTGAACCTGTCATTGAGGTGAAAAACATTGATCATTTCATGTAATATTTTAAGGTGGTTGAAGTAAAAAAATGTAGATGACTTTTATAGCATTTCAAGGTAGGTTGTTTTGAGGCCATCTTCTTTGGGTTTAAAGACTGTGGAATAAATTGTTAGCAGTGACTATCTATGAAAAAGAGATGGGAGTTGAGGGAGAGGCAGAGAGAGACACTTTGATTTTTACTTTGTATAATTCCACATGTTTGACTTCTCCCTCCAAGAGTCATGTACTACTTTTGTAATATTTTAAAAGCCAATTGAAAAAACTTAAAGGTTAGATAACAATAAATTTTAAAGTTATTATAATAATAATAATAATAATACATACTTACAAAAAATAATGTTATTGTTAAGATTTTACCACTACAACTATTATTACTACCCATGATATTAGTTAACATTCAGGGCTTTCTACATACTGGATAATATAATAAGTATGTTATAAAAATGATCTCTTTTAAGTTTTCACAGCAAGCCAATATGGTAGAAATTGTTATTCTTATTTAATAATAAGAAGTCCAGGCTTAAGGTTAGGTAGCTTCTCCTAGTCATGCAAAGGTAAGGGAGGAGCCAGGGTTTGAACTCCAGATTATTCAGCCCCAGAACTGAAGCACTTTATTAGTATATATAGCATAACCCTATTTCTTGCATTCTCAGTTAAAATGTACCAGACTTAAGTAAAATGCCAATAATTGAATATCTCTGGAAGGATCATTCATTCAGTATCTCAGTAGTTGTGGTACTTGAACCATGAGCTAACCAATAAAAAGCACTACTACAGAAATAGGACCCTGGTACCCTGTTCTATTATTTAACAAAATATTATTTAATACTTATTTATTAAATAAATATTAACTTTCTTAGCATTTATTATTTATTATCCATTACTTAATATAATTTTGGTTAACGTGTTATTTAGTAAAAATCTTCATATAGAAAAACAATGTGTTTATCTTATGAGTTACAGAGAAGAGAAATTGTCAACCATAGTTAATCAGGGATGGAAGCATTTGTAGTTAAATATATGAGCAGGCATCCTGGATAGTGCTACACACAATAACAGTGCTTTGGTTTGGTTATCACATTCTGGGAAACTGGTATCCAACCCTGCAGGGCTAAAACATAAATTTTTGTCAGAATCACAAACTGGGTCTAAAGTGGAAGTTTAAACTCAAGTTTAGACTTGAAGCAGCCAAACTCATGAGAGACCAATTTAAAAAGCAGAATGTAAATTTCTTGAGTGCCACTGATCTAAGTGCTCAGTAGTAGATTAGCATATTCTCTCCCTAAAAGAAGGACTATAAAATTAGTATCAAAAGTGAGCTCAGAAGTTCAAAAGAACATATAGAGAATGCTACCTTTTGTGTAATGTGCTGCACATGTATATGTATGCATATATATGTGCATGTGTGTGTATTTGTATACACATATGTGTGTATTTATTTGCCCTATCCACAAAAAGCAAATATACCCTAGTAGCAATGAGCACATTGTAAGCCTAGATCTTGACTTCTAATATCCATTTCCCCCACTGAAATATACTAGACCTCCTCAAAGAAATGGCATCTTCTAGGGCTGGGGCAAAGTAGATTTGGATAAATGTAGGACATCTTGTTATGCCAAAAAGAAAGGAAATGCTTAAAAAGTGTGTGTGTGTGTGTGTGTGTGTATGTGTGTGTGTAAAAGCTTGTCTTATTTTGTCTGATATTAGTATAACTACCCCTGCTCTCTTTTGGTTTCTGTTTGCATGGAATATCTTTTTCAGCCCTTTTACTTTCTTTCAACCCATTTGTGTCATTGAATTTAAAGTAGACAGCATATAGTTGGATCATTGATTCTTATCCATTTTGCCAGTCTATCTTTTAATTGAGCATTTAATGCATTTATGTTTAAAGTAATTACAAATAAGGAAAGACTTCTGTCATTTTGCTGTTTGTTTTCTATATGCTTTATAGTTCTTTTGTTCCTCATTTCCTGCATTACTGTATTCTTTTGTGTTTTAATTTTTTGTACTGAAATGTTTTAATTCCGTTCTCATTTCATTTTGTGTATATTCTATAACTATTTTCTTTGTGATTACTGTCAGAATTATATTTAACATTCTAAAGTTATAACACTCTAATTTAAATTTTTGCCAGTTTAACATCAATAACATATTAAAACTGTCTTAATTTCTCCCTCCCATTTGAAAAATAGTTTGGCTGGATATAGGATTCTTTGCTGACACTTTGTTTTTTCTGTTAGCACTTTGAATATATCAGCCCAGTGCCTTCTGACCTTCTCTGATAAGAAATCTGCTGATAATCTTACTGAGATAACTAGTTTGTGACAAGTTGTTTGCCTCTTATTGCGTTTAAGATTCTCTCTTTGTCTTTGAACAATTTTATTATAATGTGTCTCAATGTGGATTTCTTTGAAGTCATTCTACTTGGAGTTTGTTGAACTTCTTGCATGTTTATATCATGTCTTTCATCAAACTTGGGAAATTTTTAGCCATTACTTCATCAAATAATTTCTCTGCCCCCTTCTTCTTCTTTCTTCTCCTTCTGGGATTCCCACATGTGTATGCTAGTCTACTTGATGGTGTCCCATGGGTCCTTCAGGCTCTATTCACTTTTCTTTAATCTTCTTTTTGTTCTTCAGATGATAATTCCGATCGTCCTGTATTCACATTTGCTGATTGTTTCTTCTGCCCCATGTAACCTTTACTCTCTGGTGAATTTTTTATTTTAGTTTTTGCCTTTTTAGCTCCAATATTTCTTTTTGGTTTCTTTTTAGGTCTTCTGTCTCTTTATTCATATTTCCATATTGTTCATACACTATTTTCTTTACTTTTTCCATATCTTCCTTTGGTCCTTTAAGTATCTTTAAGACAGTTGTTTTAAAGTCTTTGTTTAGTAGGCCCACCATCTGGCCTTTCTCAGTGACAATCTCTGTTCATTTTTTTTTTCCTTTGAATGGGCCATACTTTGTATGCCGTTGATATTTTTGTTGAAAACTGGACATTTAAGTAGAATAATGTGATAACTCTAGAAATCAAAATCTCTTTTGTCCCCAGGGTTTGCTCTTTTTTGTTTTATTTTGTTTTTGATTGCCGTAGGCTTTGTGCCAAGGTGTAAACCTAATGCTTTCTCAGCCTTTTCTGAGCCTGTGCCTTTCTTGGGTATGCACACTGACTTCCTAATCTCCCCTATAAATGAAATTGCTTTTGAATGTCCTAGTCTTTAATGTCTGGCTCTCAAAATGAAGGAAAACAGAAAAATGAAAGGGGGTTGGAGTCAGCCCTTTAAATCCTCTGGAAGTCACCTCAGGCAGATAGGGAGGGGCTGGCAGCATTGTGAGGTGGAGAGCACCAATGGCTGCCAGACTCTGTGTCTGTACCTCTGTGATTAGCAGTAGCAATCAGTGATGAGAATACAGATCCTGATATTTGGAAAACAAGGTCCTTATTGCCCGCCTGGCTCCCATAAGCTGTGTGCAGGCTGTTCCTGCATTGCCCACCACATGGCTGAGAATGGTAGATTGGGAGCTGCTACTCTGCTAAGAGCTGAAATTGACAAAACTTGATTGCAGTTTCCCTTTCAAACCTTCCCCTGGAGGTTACAAACCTTCAGTGGACTCTAGAGTTTTAAAATAGTTTAGGAGACAGATTTTTCCAGTCCAATTGTTGGCTGGGTGGGAAGACATATTCCTGGTGCTTCCTATTTCTCCAGGATTCCTCCCAGAATCCTCTCTCTTAGTCATTTTTGTAGGATCAAATAACCATTACGGTAATAGAAATGAGCATACTTTGCTATCTCGACCACTGAGTTTTACTCACAAGAATACTTTGAAATTTTGTGACAAACAGTCTTTAAAGAATTTCTGAGTGATTTAAAAAGCCAATTTCAACATATGTTTGCACTTTCCTTGTACAATTACGTAGAGAGATGCTTTATAATTTCTTACTTAAACAACTCACAGAAAGTTCTTTAAGTCTCAAGCTTGTTTGATTTAGCAGTTGATGTCATGGCCTCTTTCCATATTTCTGTAATAGCAAGAACAATTCTTTCTTTTTTTTTACTCTTCTGTGTCATGAAACATAAGCTTCCCTTGTTTATTTTCCTGATCGAACAATAGGTTTTAAAAACCCTTCCTTGAAATTGGTCACTCATGGGATAATTAAGGCTATCCCCTTTCTTCTTTGCCCAAACAAAAGAAACAAAGAGAAAAGTCTCAAAATCTAAAATCACATTCACAGAACATATCCCATTTTTAGTTCCACCAGCAATTCAGAATTATTTTCATAGATTTAAGTGAGAAAACTTAACTGAGAAGCACTATATCTTCTCAGTTTGTGAGACTCAACAACAGAGATGTGAAAATTCTTGGAAAATCATAAAAAGGTTTTTTTTAATTTTCTTTATAAATTAGAAAATAAATCTCAGGCTATGGGGGGGATATAAAAAATAGAAACCTGAAAGACTTTATAATCTTACCTCTCTTGAGAAACCACCGTTAATTTGGAATTTTTTCAGACTAGCCGTCTTTGTATAATATATAAAACATACTGTTTAATAATAATAAAATCCTACTGTGTTCTGCAACTCGATTATTTAAAGAGTATCTAAAATAATATATTTATATAGTATAGTCTATTTGAAAGGAGGTCAAAATGTGGTAAAAAATCATCTCAATCAAGTTGACTTTGTTTACTGTTTGATAATATCTTGGTAAAAATGGAAATGTACATTTCAGTTTATAATGTGTAAATAACCTATAAAAATGCATTCTTTTCATCACAGCATTAATGTATAGACTAATTATAATTCTGTATGAATATGTATTTCTTTCAGGGCTGGTGGTTGGATTTATCCTAGCCATTTCAAATGTCAGCTTTTGTACCTCTTTACTGATGTTTTTCTTTTCTTCTTCGCAACTCACTAAATGGAAGGGAAAAGTAAAGAAGCGACTAGATTCAGAATATAAAGAAGGTAAAATGTATTATGTTTGGCATTATTTAAAACAGTAATAACTTTGTTTCATCCTAACATATAAGATTGAACCAAAATATGTTTAGACTGTTGAAACAGATAAATTTTATATGAGAATTACTTTAAGTAGAAACATAATTTAGGTTGTCATTACTTCGCCACAATAGCAAGTAACAGCAAAATTGTAGAAGCACTAAAGTCTATCATTAATTTTGTAAAACAATTTAGAATGTGGGCAAAGGTACTATCTCACTTTCAGTTATTTGAAAATTTTAGTCATTTTTCTTAAACGTTAAAATATAAGTTCATATATCTGCAATGATATTCCTTCTGAGGAAAAAAACATTTCTTGTCCTTTTTATCTACTTGTTTGCTTCTAGGTGGGCAGAGGACTTGGATTCAGGTATTCTGTAATGGAGCTGTAGCCACAGAGCTGGCCCTACTGTACATGATAGAAAATGGCCCTGGGGAAATCCCAATAGATTTTTCCAAGCAATACACTGCTTCTTGGATGTGTTTGTCTCTCTTGGCTGCACTGGCCTGCTGTGCTGGAGACACATGGGCTTCAGAAGTTGGCACTGTTTTGAGTAAAAGCTCTCCAAGGCTAATAACAACTTGGGAGAAAGTTCCAGTTGGTGAGTTTTATTTAAGTCTCAAAAAAATGAAAATTAACAAAAAAACCTTCGATTTATCATGTTTCTTTTAAAGAGCCTTTTAAGAATTTTTGTTAGCCTTCTTAGAAAATTACTGTAGACTGTTATATTGGTGATAATAAATAATATTTACAGGAAATGTTAGCAAGTCCTAGATAAACAATACAAAAACATATAGAATGACTCACAGAAATATCAGTGGGAAAGAGAGAAAATAAGGTGTTTCTTGAGGGCCTATTATGTGATCAGTGTTTTACCATATATCTTAGTTACCCATTACTGTTCTGAACTACTGCTACTCCTCCTTTTTTGTCTCTGTCATCACCTCCTCTTGCCCCTTCCTCTTCTTCTCTCCTCCTCTTCTATCTCCTTCTTTTCATTTGCCTCCTTTACCTCTCCTTTTTTTCCTCTTCAGTATCATCATGAACAGCTAACATATTTGAGTACCTACTATATGCAAGGAACTGTTCTACATGCTCTACATGAGTTACCATTTAATACTACTAATAATCGTGTGAATTCTTTAATTATTTCCACCTTCACAAACAAGGAAACTAAGGCATAGAAAAGTTAGGTAAATTCACTATCATCACATAGCTTGGAAATGACAACTAAGGTTGAAACTAGTCAGTCTGGCTCCACTGACCTCTTATACTTTCCTGCTTAGAATGGCAACAGATGCTGAGGTCTTGTGATCTTATGGTCTTAGGATCTTTGGATTAAATCAGAACCCTTTCTTTAAATTAGTCTTGTTTGAGTAAATACCAAAAGTTTTTGCTTTCCCTGCCTTTATGTGTTTGTTGATTGTTAACCGTATGATTTTATCCTTTTGTTTCTTCTTCAGGGACCAACGGCGGGGTTACAATGGTGGGCCTTGCTTCCAGTCTCCTTGGTGGTACCTTTGTGGGCATCACCTACTTCCTCACACAGTTGGTTTTTGTTAATGATTTGGACATTTCTGCTCCCCAGTGGCCAATCATTGCATTTGGGGGTCTGGCTGGATTACTAGGATCAATTGTAGACTCATATTTAGGAGCTACAATGCAATTTAGTGGTGAGAACAAAATCTTATTATTGCAACTTATTGGTGTATAAAAGAAATGGGAAAGAGATACGGAAAAGAAAAAGAACGATATGATGAAAACAATTCCAAAGACACAGGGAGTTGAGGGACCGGGAATGATAGGTCAAAGTCTCTTCTACAATTTTGATTTTTTAATTTTTTTTTCTTAATTAATTGAAAGAGAATTAGTCCTGCAGAGCAATGAGTAGAAGCTGTGTAGGGAGGATATGATAGTGCAGGAAACGGACATTTTTGCTAATGGGATTTCTCCTGATCCCAGGAAAGCAGAACATTTGGGATCAAATCATTTTAATGCCCCCTTCTTACATTTGTTTTCCAAGTCCGTTTGAGAGAGAATTATTGTACTAATCTGACTATACACACATGGCTTGCTTTTCTACTCTGACACCATTGTGCATGCTGTCCTCACTGAGTTTTTGGTCCCACTTAAGGTATATGGGAGAGTCAATTTTCCCAAAAGCTTCCTATGCTTTATTCCTGAGGCTTTCCTGTGATGTGAGTATACTGACATTTTGTTTAGTGTGTTTTGCTCAACATTCTTATCAACCATGTTTTCTTCTTTGAGTTATATAATGAATAGCTGGAAGTCTGGAGAAAATTTCCCTGAATACAGTCCTCCCAATTCTCTTCATGCTCCAAGATAATCTACTTGCCCTTTCACTCTCCTCCCTACCAGTCAGAATACTTGTTTTCTCAATTTCATTAGTCTTATCTAGACGCTAACGAAGAATCAGAATTCACACTAAAGGGAAACTTCACACACAAACACACACACACCACACACAAACACACAAACACATTTTTTTTAAAGAGCATAGGTTTTATTCTGAACTGGGGTCTAACTAGGCAAGTTTCTGATCATATTGAATGGGTTAAAAAAATTGCGGGCTATGGGAAAGTTTAATTCATTCAGTAAACCTTAGTGTGCCTTCTTCGTGCCAGCACCATGCTGGATCCTGGGTATCTATTGCAGAGGTTTGCAGACCTGATCTCTGTGCTCAGGTTGGTCTTGCAGGGGAACCACCGGGAAGGCAGGCCCTGTCTGCCAGTTTCATGCCATCTCTGCTTTTCATATTCTTCCTTCTACTTCTGAAGGAACTTCAGCAGTGTTAAGAGAAGTGTTGAGGCATACTGAAACTCATTTATTCAAAGAGACCTTTTATGATTGAGGGTTCCATGTCTCTCACCATACAGATTATCTACTAAAGTCATTTTATAAGTGGCTGAGAATCTTTCAAAAAAATTTTTTTGGAAGAGAAAAGCTGGTTGGTTTGTTTGTTTTTAAATCAAGTCATTTGGATTTTCCACCTCACTTGGCTTCTTTTCCACTCTAGGTTTGGATGAAAGCACTGGCATGGTGGTCAACAGCCCAATGAAGGAGGCGAAGTTCATATCAGGGAAACCCATTCTTGATAACAATGCGGTGAATCTGTTTTCTTCTGTCATTATTGCTCTCTTGCTTCCTACAGTTGCTTGGGGTTTTTGGCCCAGGGAGTGAACTTTATTTCATTTACAAAGGTCAAAACTATGGTAAATTCAACTAAATTTGCAATCCCAAATTTCATTCTAAGAGGAATCATTGTAATGGCTAAGGAGAAATGCCAACTCCTCCCATACTCCATTGTGATGGAATTCTACATTTCCTCTTGTCTAGTCCCTTGTAACAGCTAAGATATTCTAGTGAAAAACAAGACTACATAAAGATCACCCTTTTTTTGTTGTTGTTAAATGGACCTTGATTAATGAATCTGTGATGTCCCTGTACATTGATACATATTGAACTGAAAGCTCTTTGTTGAACTGAAAGTTCCTACATGGTAGATATAAATTTCGTTTTGTTTAAACCAGGGTGGTGACTAAAAGTGATAAAATTTTAAAATTGTTCTCAGTTGTGCCAGAGAAATGCCACTATGCCAGTTACCCAAATGTTATATCTCTTTTAAGTGGTTTAAACTGATGTATTTGGAAGCCTGAATAAGTGTAGTATCCTGGACTACTTGCATTACTTGCCATTTATAATTGTAAAAAGTGTGAAATTTGGTTCCTTAGTGAGCTGTGAATCCTACTCCACATTTGTTCTTCCTTCCTCAGGGTTAGTAATAAAAAAAAAAAAAGTCTTTTTGATATGATTACAATGCATGAAAAAATTATTTTTAAGTAAAGCGAAAGAGATCTATCATATCTAAATAATATGTACCTTACTATATATTTCAGTAGATCTCTCAGTAGAAATTATCTCAGATTTAATACTTTCAGTGTATTTTCTAGCTTTCTTTGAAATATACATAGGAATCTGCTTTGCATTAGCATCCTGAACAGATGAAAGAGTCACTGGGAAATTATTATAATAATTTCTTTATTTGCTATCCTGGAATTCACTGGAAGGGGCTGTGATTTCCTATGATGTACCTTTTAAGTTGTGCTCCCCTTTACATTATAGCCTCAGCTAAAGTGAATTCTATATTTCAATTTTTTCTTTCATTGTGATTAACTGTGTGCTAAAGAGTTCGATATGGTATGGATTTTTTTTTTTTTTTTTTTGCGAAAAGCATTTAAAAATATTTCTCATGTGATTTCCACACTGTTCTTTCCCTGCCCCTTTTGCATCTTGGGAAAACCGGGGAGAGATTCCATTAGTAAGCCACCATTAGAGTGGATAAAGTGTAGAATTCTTTATTGGTGACTCTACTACAGTGATGATCTACAACTGACTTAGTTCATGGAGGAGGGAAAAAGAAAAAAACAATTGACACTGGTATTTCTTAACCCAAACAACTCAGTGGGTCTTAACCATTGCTTTTCAACTTGGAGTATACATTGGAATCACCTGTCCATCTTTTATAAAAATACTTGTGTCTGAGCTTCACCGTCAAAGATTCTGACTCACCTGGTCTGGGGTACAACCTGAGTATTGGGACTTTTAAAACCTCTGGCTGCCCCGTAGAATCATGTAAAGGGTTTTTAAAAACACTGTTGCCAAGACCCCTCTTTAGATCAAGTAAATCAGAATGTCTGAAGGTGAGACTATTTTTACAAAGTTCTCTGGGAGAGTCTAATGTTTAAACAGGTTGAGAACTACTAAATAAGAATATCCTAAAGCAGTGGTCCCCAGCCTTTTTAGCACCAGGGACCCATGCTTCTATGAGAATCTAATGCCTGGTGATCTGAGGTGGAGCTGAGATAGTGCTGCTAGTGCTTGGGAGCAGCTGCAAATACAAATGAAGCTTCAGTTGCTAGCCAGCCACTCACCTCCTGCTTTGCAGCCTGGTTCCTAATAGTCTCTGGACCAGTACTGGTCAATGACCTGGGGGTTGGGGACCTCTGTCCTAAAGCACTATACCTAAAAGAAGTTTCAAAAGACTGAGCCTTGGACATGGTTTCATAGTGTAGCGGTTACCACGTATGCTTTACATGCAGAAGATCCTGGGTTCTCGCCCCAGTGGAGCCATGGTCCATGGTCTACGGCCATGCCACCCTGAACAAGTCCAATGTCTGATCTCGGAAGCTAAGCAGGGTCGGGCCTGGTTAATACTTGGATGGGAGACTACTTAGGAAGACCAGGTGCTGTAGGCATAAAAAATAATAAATTAAAAAAAAAATGAGCCTTTTCATTTTTATGCAGACAACTATTAGCAATAATGCTGTATGCTGTCTTTATGGGTGAATTAGCTTGTGATAATTATACAGTATCTTATGTTGTATCACTTAGCAAATCATTCCTGAATCAGTTTTTCATGCAGCTTGTTTTTTCCTGTAGCTGTTCTAACATGTCTTTCTCTTTTTCCTGGTGATTAATCCTCAGGACATACAATGGGACAAAAATATTTATTAAAACTATCTTTGAGTTTGGGAAAATCATCATATTCCCAGTTCAGGGAAATACTGCCTTAATAATCCTTTATTTGAGAATTTAGAACTAGTTGTGGTTTGCAATAAAAAGATTTTCAGATTTTAGGAAGGTAATAGGGTATATATAAAATATTTTACTCAAAAGTCCTAAAATTGTCTAGGGTATCAAATACACTAATATGTCTGGTGAATGTATGAATAGCACAAATAAATGTCAACTACAGACTATAAAGAGCCTCACATCAGGTCAGGTCAGGTTTTGTCTTCAAACTAAGGAAGAAACCTTCTGTTTTCAGAACTTTTTTGGATATGAGAATTGTAGATAAAGATTTTTGGCTCTTTCTTATTTTAATCTTAGAAGTATTTTACTATAACATCCTTTTTAACTTGACATTGAACTAGTTCAGCCTATTCTATTCTAGCAGTTTATATAAAAAACACTTTTCGTGGAAAGTCCTCCTTGTAACAATATAATAAAACAATATGTATTACCTACCTAGGCAGCCTAAAGGCATACATACTTATTATGTTACATAGTAGAGGAGAGCAAGATCTATGTGGTTCAGGGCAGCTCTTGGGGGAGACTTGAAGACTTCAAGGAGTGTCATTTGAAGAATCATATGGAGCCACCAGGAGAACAGTGAATTGATACAATAGGTCATTTGATTCCTAGTTTATCTCATTACTTATCTATACCTCAACCAAGGTATATATATCTCTTTTTTGTTTCTAGCTGCTATATATATAGGATACTGGCTTCAGAAATGCCAATCTCATCTCTATCAGGTACAGGCCTAGTGTAGAGAAAAATTACGTGAGGTAAGATATTGTAAACTGCCGTATGCCTGCAATCTGAACTGTTAGCACAGTGGGTATAATAGAACCTAATCATCTGACTTTCCTGATGCCATCACAAGGAGAAAAAACTGTAGTTAACCACCAAATCTCAGGTAAATGTACTGTTTTAAAGATATAAACACAATTATGCAGCATAATTATTTAATCTCCTAAAGGAATATCTGTTGCTATTACTCAAAATGGTTCTCAGTATTTTAAATATATATAGGTGTTCATTCTACGGCCATGACATCTGAACAAGCCCGATCCCGTCTGATCTTGGAAGCTAACAGGGTTGGGCCTGGTTAGTACCTGGATGGAGACCACCTAGGAAGACCAGGTGCCATAGGCATAAAAAATAAGAAATAAGGAATTGTAAGCTGACAAGATCCTTGCAATCTGTGAGGTCAGCCAAGGGTTGCCTCGCCTAAAAAAAAATAAAATAAATAGTGTCTTGATATTTTAATTTATAAGAAATGAATCTTAAAAGAATGCACAGAAAACTCTACATAGTTGTATAGTATTCCAGAAGAAAAGCATTTTGTAATAACAATAGTTGATGCTGTGCCAAGTACTGTTCTATATACCCTTTGCCAGCATTAACTCATTTAGTTCTCAAGAACCCTGTGAAGCAGGTCTGTTCATTTTGTACCAGTAAGGAAACTGGGCTTAAAAAGATTTAATGATAGATCTGGGATGAAGACATGAAGATTAAAGATAGAAGAAAATAATAAGAGTTTGAGGAACTATTACTTTTGTTGTGATAGCAAAGCTATAGCGTGTTCAGCTACTGAACTAAGGTTTTCCAAGAGAAGTAATAACCCAACAGGTAATTGTCACTGCAGCAATAGGAAAGCTGAGCTATTGCTATTCAACAGCTTCATTAATTGATCTCTGAAGTTTTTGTTTTTTTCTAAAGTGATTGGCAACAGGTTTAAAATTTGTGAATTTGAAAGGTTTAAGATTTTAACAGGTTTCAGATTTGTGAACTTAAAGGGTTTTTTTTCCTCCTTTTAAGAAAGAGAAAGGCCATGAGAAAGCCAATGTCAACATATATCTTAGGGAGTACAGTGTAAAGAGGAATACTGTTTAGCTATTAAAACATTTTAGGTGCGTATATGTTGGCATCAAAGATGTTCATGATATATTAAGTAAACAATAGTTTAAAAACCAGAATTGACAGTATGCTTTCATTTTTGTTTAAAAAATATTCGTAGCTATTTAGACATCAAAAAAAGATCAGATGTATATACACTCATAATGTTAATTATGCCTGGGAGGTGGAATTATTAGAGTTTTAACATTTTCTTTATTTTTTAACTTTTGTTTTTCAATTTGAGTTGATGTTCAATATTTTATAACATTTTATTTTAACTATATTTTAATATCTTCTACACTGAATATCCTTGTTTTTGAAATTAAGCAATGCAGTGATTTTTGTTAAAAGGGGAGATGGAGGAGGAAAGTGGTCACCTAATTAATTACTATACAGTACAGAGGGGACATGATATCTGTTCAATAAATGGTGCTGGGTCATTTGATAGCTGTATGAGGAAAAATATGTATCTTGACCCCTTTTGCACATTGTATAGAAAATCAATTCCAGTTGGATTACAGAACTAAATGTGAAATATTAAACTAATTTATTTGAGAAAAATATAGAATAACTATGTGACTTGGAGTAGGGATGATTTCTTAAATGGGACACAAAATTGCCTACCAGAAAGAAAAAGAGTTGGACTGTATTAAAATTAATAATTTCTGTTTATTAAAAGACACTATTAAGAGTAAAAAGCAGCCCACAGAGTAAGTAGATTTGCAGCATGTATACTCAACAAAGGATTCATATTTAGAATATAAAAACAAACACCTGCAAATCAATTTTAGAAAGACCTTCAACCCAAGAGAAAAATGGGCAAAGGATCTGAACAGCCACTTCATAAAAGAGTATATCCAAATAGCCAGTGAACATCTGAAAATGTACTGCTTTATTCATCAGAGAAATGCAAGTTAAAAACTACACTGGGAACCATACCTATCAGAATGGGTGAAGTGAAAAACGAAGGAAAATGCTAGATGTTGAAGGAGATAGAACCCATATTGCTGGAGGGAACATAAACTGGTACAACCACTTTGTAAAAGTGTTTAGCAGTATTTACTAAGGTTGACTAGTCATACTTTGACCCATTAATTCCATTTGTAGGTGTGTACTCAAATGTTCGTACCAGCTCTCATTATGGTTCCAAGCTGGAAACTACCCAAATGCCCATCAGCAATAATCAGCAAAAATTGGATAAGTATGATGTGAAATATTCACAATGGAAATATATATAACAATGAGAATGAACAGCCTACACCCGCACTCAGTATGGATGAGCCTTACAACATAATGTCGAATGAAAGAAGTCAGACACGGAAGAGTCTATACTGTGGTTTCATTTATATA